TGTCTGGTCTTATTATCAGTCGGCCCATTCTCCTCTGACCTCTAGCATCAACAAGGCATTTTCGCCCACAGGACTGCCGCATACAGGATGTTTTTCCCTTTTCACACCATTCTTTGTAAACCCTAGAAATGGTTGTGCGTGAAAATCCCAGTAACTGAGCAGATTGTGAAATACTCAGACCGGCCCGTCTGGCACCAACAACCATGCCACGCTCAAAATAGCTTAAATCACCTTTCTTTCCCATTCTGACATTCAGTTTGGAGTTCAGGAGATTGTCTTGACCAGGACCACACCCCTAAATGCTTTGAAGCAACTGCCATGTGATTGGTTGATTAGATAATTGCATTAATGAGAAATTGAACAGGGGCCTCATGTACAAAGACTTGCGTTGAATTCATACTAAAACATTGCGTACGGACAAAGCTGTAAATGTGCGTACGCACAAAAAAAAGCAGATGTATGAATCTCTGCGTACGAAGGATCCCACGCATATTCTCTTTGTACATCCCAATTAACGTAAAATTGAGCGCACATGCATGAGCACAACGCCCCACCCAGTCTCCTCCCCCAATTAAATTAATTTAAATATGGTAATTAGTCCAATTTGGCAAAAGAAACCTGCAAGAACATGGCTAAAGCAAGCAAGAAACGAAATTTCACTGAAAATGTATTCTGTGTGAAAGTGTAATTTATTCCTGTGATCAAAGCTGAATTTTCAGCATCATTTCTCCAGTCTTCAGTGTCACATGATCCTTCAGAAATCATTCTAATATGAGGATCTGATGATCAAGACACATTTTTGAGTATTATCAGTGTTGAAAACAGGTGTGCTTCTGCTTCATATTTTCGTGGAAACCGTGATATAGTATTTTCAGGATTCTTTAATGAATAAAAACTTAAATCAAACAGATATAGAAATCTTATAATCTTTTGTAACATTATAAATGCATTTACTCTCACTTTTAAACAAATTCAATGTGTCCTTGCTGAATAAAAATATTACTTTCTTTTTTTATCTTTACTGACCGAATTAATGAAGTTTATTTTTTATTCCTAGTTAAGCCAACACTGCCATTAGACGGGTTGTATCAATTTGCACATGCTTTATATATGTTCTTACTTAATTGCATAATAGAATATTTTAATAAGACTCGTGTGACAATAATATGTCAAATAATTTATCAATTACAAATTATAAGCAATATCTGACAGCTGGTGGTGCGATAGAACAATTCGTAGTGTAATGTTTGCCACTTCACTTTATTGCCTCTATGAGTCGCCAACAGACAAAAATCACGACAAATGTACGTACGCCAGACATGAAGTTTACTTGGAGGAACGCACATTCTTACGTTAATTTCACTGTTAGTACATCTGGCCGTGAACGTGAAAGTTGACGTACGCCGTGTTTTTGTGCGTACGCAGTGTTGATACATGAGGCCCCTGGTGTTCCTAATAATCCTTTAGGTGAGTGTATATCACTTTTAATTTGCCACTTAACTATTATAGATATAAATTTGAAGAAGAAAAAAATCTATATCTTTAGAAAAGTGTACATTTGTAAATTACTACAGTCTCCGGGGGTTGAAAAGCTTAAAACCTTTGGAATTTGTTTTCTTTTGAAAGAAACTTGTACTTTTTTCCAGCAATGATGATGTATTAAATTGATCAAAGGGGGCAGTAAAGCCGTTTACACTGTACAAAAAAGAAAAAAAAAGAAAAGAACCCAATGTTTTCCACAAAAATATTCTACAGCACAATAATAAGAAATGTTACTTTAGCATCAAATCAGCATATTACAATGAAGGATCATGTAACAAGTAATCACAAAACAAGTAATTCAAATTCAGCAAATGTAAATTGACTTTAAAAATAACAAATACTGTCTCTGTATTTTTTAAACGGCATATAAATTCATGAAAAATTATGCCACATCTGCTCACACTAACATTAAAATACATTTTGAGAGCCATAGTGCGCAGCCCTGGTGCAATGCTGGGGTTATTTTGAATGTAGAAAAACAATTTTTTTGTCCTCAGTATACTTAATGGAGGACTGCATTCTCTTTTCGCATTGCTCAGTTCCTCATTAAGCCTAGCCACAAAAACAGCCATGATGCCTGACCTGCACGTCTGGAAAATTGATCGCAGAAAGAGCTGCTCATGCTTCTTCCGGAGTCGCTTTAAAAACCATCATCCCACTTAGCAGCTCTCCGACTCATCTATTAACACATCACCATGTGCTTGATCAGACCGTAACACCAAAAGTGGCTTTTCCTCATCAAACATACAACTGCACAAGGCCTTTGAGAAATGAGAGTCAAGTAATCAGGTATCGGTGATCAAAGGAGATGGATCTAAAGTCAATAACATGGATAATGGTAAATGAGAAGATCACAGGCTTGGACTGACACTTTCACAGTGCTGGTGAGCAGCTAATAAGTTGATCTTTGACACATACATTGTTTTCATGGAACATGTCAATTTTTTCATAGTGGGATAAAGAGAAAGAGAGAAACCAGCTGTGGAATGCACCATCTCCTCAACAGAAAGTTTGCCCACCCAGCATTTGACAGCCAATTGTATGTCTATAGAAGACATGACATAATGCTGTTATTAAGTAAAATGGGCCACGTTTTGTAACACTTGAGCAAATTAGCTTGAACACAAAATGCTAATGATGCTTCTGCAGAGGATGACAGAGAAGAAGGGATTGAGAGAAGAAAAAAAAAAAGAGCTGGCTGCTGAGTCTGACCTTATAAAACTATGCTATTACATTAAACATATGGTGAATCTTGTAAAATCTCCATTTCAGCAACTATCTACAGAAGATATTATGTCGTCAGAACAGGCAACACCATGCTACATTGAGGATTAAACTGATCAACAATACTACCTAAATGTCCTAGAGACATGGGAACAATTGTTATTAGCTTTCCAACAATCGGTTTAGCTTGTTGTTGTTTTCAGTAAAAAACACATGAAATGTAATATTTACAATCTATACAGCAACATTTGGAAAAGCAAGTGCAGACTGTGGAAACAAGAGAAAGTGAAAAATAGTTTAAGCGTTCAAAAAATATGAGCAGAAAACATGATTTTGGATAACTTTGAACTCATGTTTAAGTTTTGTGCAATATAATTTTAAATGCGTTTTAAGTTTTGATTCATGCTTACTATTTTTTTTTATTTTGAGTCAGGCTTATTATTTATCGATCTGTGACCGCGTTGATATCAAGTCTGATAACTTTGCATTTTTCAGTTTTGTAGGATATATTTTTAAATGCATTTTTACATTTTTGATTCACTTGTTGTTATTTTTTTTAACACTTTTGATGGGAAATTGATCCCATAACTGACCTGCAAATTTGTGGAAATTTCACAAAAATTCAAATTTAATATAAAACTAACTTAAAATGAAATTGATTGCAGTGTTGGGACCTGAAATAGATGCTTTATTATTCCTGTTTTTAAGTTTAAAATTATTCTAAATGTTGAATGCATTTATAACATTATTTAATGATTTAATTACTATTTTTGATATTAATCCAAAACAGAGGCCATGGGGCTTATATCCTGTTGTCCAATGCATATTCAATGCAGAGTCCTAAATAATTTTACATGCTTAAAATTGTATGCGAGTAGACTATGTACTGTAGGTCAACCACACTTCTAGGCTCTAATGGTATGAAAATGTATCAATCATAATATGAAAATAATACATCAATGTAACAAGTTCAAACTCTGTGTCAAAGTTCTGAACTGGTGTTTCACAGATCCAAAAGCTTACACTCTGTAATGCATGATTTAAAAACATGTAAATAAATAAATAGGTAAAAAAATAATTTAACTGACACATCTGATTGATTCGGTAAACTTAACAATTTGCTAGGCTCATAAAACTCTCTTCAATCAGGGTGAGTGTTTCGTCAGTGTTCCACAAGGATCCCTTGGCACAGGGTGAGTCTAATGATTGGCTGACTGTCAGCCATCCAATGCACCAGTGATCAATTATTCAACAGAACTGCATGTTTTTGCCTCTCCCGACACTAAGGAATAGCTTTGCTATGCTGTTTATCACCATCTCTGTACATTGGCTGAAACAAAGGAACTCAATAAGTCACTAAAAGAGGATCTACAGTGAATAAAACACATAAATAGTATAAATACAACCTAAACCTTGACCATAAATGAGACATGCACCCTAGACAGTAAGAGAGAAGAGCACTCTTGGAAAAACCAGAGTTGACTGTCTGACCTAGTTAGCATATGAACACCCCCACAAGCGGACTGTACCACAATCAGAAACACAGGGGCAACTCAGGCCCCATAAAGAGCTTCACACAACATTTGAAATATAATTTTGTCTTATTTAAAGTCGCCATTTGTGCAGCTACTTATGCCTTATTTTTTTGTCAGATATATTCACAAATCATAGACAGATCCCTAAATTCAGAATTGGAAGTAACGTTTCTAGTGGGAGACGAAGTCTGTGATTTGCACACAATGTGCTCAAATTTCAAGCGGAGGGTTTTATTATAGGGTTGTGCTGCCTAATCTGAATGTAGGGAGGAGATAATTAGCCATCTTGCTCTGAAGACTGAGGGTATAAGATTGTGGATGCCATAGAGATGTGGTAACATTTTCACTCCATGATGATAGATACATTCTATATGCGTGTGTGTGTGTGTGTGTGTGTGTGTGTGTGTGTGTGTGTGTGTGTGTGTGTGTGTGTGTGTGTGTGTGTGTGTTAAAGACTTTAAGACCTTGAATATATATAGTGTATATATGTATACATATATTACACATTTATATTTTACACACACATTTACATTTTTCACATATATATCATAAACATTTTTTGTATTATATATTTATATATATATTAAATGTATGATATATGTGAAAAATGTAAATGCGTGTGTTATATATAGTGTTACAATAGTGTTTATTTTACCAAATTTAGGGATAACACCCAAGTTAGGTAAAATGTACACTCACCCTCTGAAGCAGAGGCCCCTGGGGGCTGGGGCCCTACAGGTGTTGGCGGTACAGGTCTCAGCCAGGGCTTCCCTGAAGTAAGGCTCGTCCTCACGACCCCAACATACTCCACAAAGGTGCCAGGGAAGTTGCCTTTTTCCTTAGTGCGTTCATTGGTGCCATGCAGCCAGCCCTTTGGGCACTTCTCGTCACCCTCCTGGAAATCGGACGTCAGCAGTGCCATCTTACTGACCGTGAGGAGATCGCCAGGCTGCAGAGAGATATCGTCACCCCTCTCCTGTTTGTACTCGAACAGTGCACGGTACTGGAAGCTGTCTGAGCTCATGATCTGTTATTTACATGAGCACAGATGGTTTTCGGTGTTTGAAGCTTGTTTAAAACTGACCTGGATGTAAGTTCTGGGTTTAAATCCTGAGTGCAAACTCACTTGGAAAGTCCTTGGGTTAAATCCTGAGAGCTCAGTGACATTTAGTTTCTTGTAAGGGTTAAAACTCGCAACAGCACCATATGTTAGGCAGAGGCCGTTATTGCGCAGTTCTAGATTTGGCCCATAAATAAAAAGCACAAATTTATTTGAAACGAATTCTAGCAGTCTGTGGCAAGATATAAAACAGGGTCAGAGAAATCAAAAACAGCCCCATGAAGTGAGGGATGAACAAGCGGGTGATGGTGCAGGACAGTGATAGCACAAATTTGGGGGGCACTGTGACCTGGAATCGGGACGTTGGGCTTTTCTGCAGCATTGGCACTAGTCCACATCTAGAAATGAAACATTTATTGAAGTAACCTCTCAGTCCATTAGCAGGTGTGGTCAGAAAGATATTAACATGGTCATTGCCAGTCTATTTATCAATTGACTGAGCAAGAGCCTTGGTCATCTTCTTGTTAAAGACCTTTAAACCTGAAAGCATTCATTTTACAGTTAGTTTCACAAATTCTAACTCAAATCAACTTGAATTTACAATCCTTGCATTAAAAGAGCAACTTTTGCATTTCAATTATAATAATGAAATAAACATGCATTGTTGGATTGTAGCTCAAATGCAAAAGCACTGTATTGCATGCACAGCATCACAACCTCTGTGTTAAACAGTCGCAGAGCAATACAATGTGAAATGACATGTAGGCTATGCCTGACTTACAGCGCGTGACTGGGACAGTGCCAACTTGTGTACAGCGTGCAGAAACTCGACTCGCGTGATATTGCTTACTAACTTACCTACTGCCGCACTTCCCCAAACTGCCCAAAATACAAGATGCACGTAGTCCAACACGAGAGGAACGAGCGAGAATTTATAGTCTGTTTAGTTAAAACATGCGTTTAAAATATATTCCCAAACAACCTGCGTAGCTGAGTCAGACATCCAGCCAGACTAGTGCTGTAGTACGGTTCAGCCCGAGTGACGTCAGAGACCACGCCTCCGCTGTCTGCTTATCACACCGTGGGACAAAGTTGGGAATTCGGATGTCCTCATGTAGCGGTCAGGATGTGAAGAACGCACTGCAGCGTGAAAATGTAGCGTCGTACTTTTCATTCGCCTAAACACATTGTCACAAGTTACATAATACTCGTCTGACGTATGTTCTTTAGACCAGGGTTTTTAACCTTTACAGACCCAAGAACACCAGCCACTCAGACCCCCAGTCTAAAAGCATTTCTACAAAATATAATAGTAATAATAATTGTTATTATTATTATTATTATTTGTGTTTATATATATATATATATATATATATATATATATATATATATATATATATATATATATATATATATATATATATATATATATATATATATATTTAGGCCAATGTTTTCAAGGTAAGACTTTATAATACATTCAATACATTCATGCATTCAAAAATGCTTCAGTTTTATTTTAGTTTTATTATAGATGTTGGTATAAGACATCTGCCATAATATTTTCTTTTAAAAAAAGAAAGAAAAAGAAGTAATTTTGTTGCCATTTGAAAAGAAAACAATAAAACCGGAAAAGTATTTCACAGAAAGGACCTCTATAGACCTCTTATGTTCAGGTCAAATGTAGTAGCACAATATCCATGATCTATTTTTCTTTTCCTTGAATTTTTTTTAAAACATTTGGTAAAAAAAATGTGTATACTCAAATGTGTTTAAAGTGCCCCATGCTATTTTAAAGATTCCTAATTTTGTTTTGGTGGTCTCCTACAACAGGTTTAGGCTACATGATGCATCAGAGGTAAAAAAAACACTTTCATTTTCTCATGATATACATTGCACATCACCACATTTTTCAATGATTCTCAAACGACTTGTCGAATGAATTAGTCCCTCTAAATCCCTCCTTTCCACGGACCACTCTGCTCTGATTGGCCAGACGGCTCAGTCTGAATTTCAGCTCAGGAAGCTTCCTCAGTCCTCCTAATTAAGTGATCGTACACACTGTAAATATGGTAATGATGACGTCGATTTTCACCATATCAATCCAACTGTAATGCAACTGTGATGCAACTGTAATTCCTCACTATCAGCAATAACAAGTGCATGTCCATCAACAAACCGATGTGTATATTTCTAATTTATTGCGGTGCACATGCGTTATTAGTCAAACAGCTTTTATTGTAACCAAGCCCATGCAGCGAATGAGTCGTTGAGGTGAAAGACCGCATCTGCAGAAGAAAATCAACGCCTACTTCATCATTGCAACTTTGGCCCCGCCCAAAGGATCCTAATGCTAGGAATTTGGTTATTTATTTCCAACAATGTGAATGTCCAACGCATTCTCATCCCAAGGTGTCATATACTGACGCTTTTGCCAAAGCGTCTACATCCGACGCACATGGCACCCTTTAGCGTCAATATAACACGCTTCGGTTATGGGTAGGTTTAGGTCTGGGGTAGTGTTAGGGTTAGACCACTAGGCAGCGCCATATATCCGCGTCTCATATTGACGCTAAAGGGTGCCATGTGCGTTGGATATAGACGCTTTGGCAAAAGCGTCAGTATATGACGCCTTGGGATGAGAACGGGCTGGAATGTCTCAGTTATTTGTAGCCTGTTCGGTACATTTCACAGTGGATTCTTTGGTAAATCGGGGGGGGGGGGGGGGGGGGGAGGGGGGTTGGGTTGTGTTGCAAAAGACACGCAAGCTCTTTCGCTCGCTTACCTCTCTGCCGTCGTGCGCTGTGCGCGGTTAGGACCTCGCCGTTAGGAGCTCAACACATCTGTCTCGCATGCACGCTCCCTCTAGATTACAGGATATTTTAACTAATTTGCGGTAAAACTAGTCGATCATGAATGGCTCAACTGGTAGATCTATTGATAAACTTATCTTTCAGGCATTTGACCGACCGGGTTGACACTTCAGCGTGAGAAATCGGGGGTGTGGCGTGAGAGCGTGAGAATTGGCTCAATTGCGTGAGTCTCACGCTGATTGCGTGAGAGTTGGCAGCCCTGATTTTGGATCAGGCTTTACAAACAGACTTTTATGATATGGACTTGACAGTAACTGTGCGAAAACGTACTCGGTTACTAATGTAACCTCGGTTCTCTCTAGAGAGGGAACGAGTACTGCGTACTATCTTACGCTATGGGGAAAACCTCTTTTCCTCGAGATATTGAAGCCAAAAATTATTCTTAATTTTGAATCAATGTAAAACGCGTTGCGACAGCATGCAGACATAGGCAAGGCGGCTCGCGTGCCTATTGGCTGACCTGTGGCAACAGCAGCAGCCTATCGAGAGAGGCCCTGTGTGACGTGATACCCAATGAGGATGCTTCGCGCCCATTTACGTCACGTCCCGCCAGAATAGGCGTGGCCTTGGCCTATAAATATAGCTTGACAGCCTGATACAAACTGGTTTTCATCGCTGAAGCGAACCAGAGCTGTTGTATGCACGGCAAGATACGCAGTACTCGTTCCCTCTCTAGAGAAAAAAGAGGTTACGTTAGTAACCGAGTACGTTCTCTTACGATAGTATCTCTCGTACTGCGTAATATCTTACGCTATGGGGAACACAATCCAACACGCCGTGCGTACTGGGATCCGACACCAAAGTCCCAAGGGCAGTAGCCCGGGGCTCATATAGTAAAAAATCACCATAAACTCACAGAGAGTCGGAGAAGAGAGGCTGCAAGCATCATTCCCCATGAAATAGCATCCTACAGGAGCTAGTTATGTTAGCAATGTTTCACGCAGACAAGGTGAACGTGTTCAGTCTGAACTGTGTGACAGTACGGGTTATTCAACACCCATGGAGCTGTTTTATCGATCAGTGAACGATACACAAGCAAAACTCAGCATTCTGCGCCGGCGCAGCGGGGCAGATAGTACTGAATTCTAGACCGACAGCAGCTTGGCCTGTAAGGCGGGAACCTCTAGGTTATAGAACCTTATAAATGTAGACGGCGAGGCCCAGCCTGCCGCCATACAGATATCTTGTAAGGAAATCCCGCTCGACCACGCCCACGACGAGGCCACGCCTCTCGTGGAGTGTGCTCTGACACCCAAAGAACACTGCAGGCCTTTAGAAGTGTAAGCCAGCGCTATGGCATCGACTATCCATCTGGATAGGCTCGGTTTTGATGCAGCCAGTCCCCTGGAGTGTCCGCCAAACAAAACAAAGAGTTGCTCGGTCTGTCTGAAGACAGACGAGCAGGACACGTAAGCTCTCAGTGCCCTGAAAGGGCAGAGGAGACTCGCATCCTCCTCCTCATCATGAACCGGGATGGCGCACAGGGAAATAACCTGGGCCCTGAATGGTGTGTTGAGGGATTTGGGCACGTACCCGTGCCTTGGTTTGAGTATGACTTTTGAGTCATTAGGCCCAAACTCCATACATGACGCGCTTACTGAAAGCGCTTGTAAGTCCCCTATGCGCTTCACTGAAGCGAGAGTCATAAGAAACACTGTTTTGAAAGACAGATGTCTCATGTCTGACAAATGGATTGGCTCGAATGGGGCACCTTTCATGGCTTCCAAAACCATAGAAAGGTCCCACACAGGGACTGAAGGGGGTCTGGGAGGATTCAGCCTCCGAGCTCCCCTGAGGAATCGCAAGACTAGGTCGTTTTTCACCAGTGACTGGCCAGACGTCGGTTTTGCAAACACCGCTATGGCCGCCACGTACACTTTGAGCGTGGAAGGGGTCCTGCCCTTATCCAGCAGCTCCTGAAGGAAGGAGAGTACTTCCGTAACCCCGCAGTCTACGGGTGAAAAGCCTTGAGCTTGACACCAGGCAGAGAACACCGACCATTTCGAGGAATTAAGCCGTCTAGTAGACGGGGCTCTGGCCTGCGAGATCGTATTTAACACTCCCCCCGGGAGGTTAGCGGGTACCCGTTGATGGCCCACGCATGTAGGAACCATAAATCCGGGCGAGGATGCCAAATCGAGGCCCTTTGCCTGAGAGAGGAGGTCTCTCCTCACCGGTATAGGCCACGGGGCAGTGCTGGTCAGCCACATCAGGACTGGGAACCAGATCTGGTTCGTCCAGAAAGGAGCCACGAGCAGCACTGGGCATCCGTTTTCCCTGATTCGTTCCAACACTTGAGGCAGGAGCGAAATGGGGGGGAAAGCATAGAGGGGGCAGCGGGGCCATACGTGGGCCAGCGCATCCCTGCTCTTGGAGAAGAAGTTCGGACAGTGAGCGTTTTCTTGGGACACGAACAGGTCCACCTGCGCTCTACCGAATGTCTCCCACAGCAGTTGGATCGTCTGCGGGTGCAGCGACCATTCCCCTGCTGGGACATTGTCCCTGGACAGTCTGTCTGGTCCCAGATTCAGGTAACCAGGCACATGCGCTGCTTTCAGTGAAAGCAGGTTGTGCTTAGCCCAGACCAGGAGGCGTTCCGTCAGCCTGTAAAGGTTTCGGGACCTGACGCCGCCCTGGCGATTTATGTATGCCACCACTGACATGTTGTCCGATCGGACCAAGACGTGGTAGCCTTTTATCTGGGGAAAAAAGCGCCGTAGCGCGTTGTCGACTGCCAACATTTCCAGACAGTTTATGTGTAGAAGCTTCTCCCGTTCTGACCACTGGCCAAAGAACGGTCTGCCCTCGAGCAGCGCTCCCCATCCCGAGGTGGAGGCGTCCGTGGACACCACCATCACACTCGAGGGAGTCCCCAGACTCATGCCTGACTGGTACCAGTCGGCTATTTTCCAAGGTTCCAGAGCCGCAACACATTTCATGTCGACCCTGAGGCGAAACAGACCAGAGGTCCACGCCCGGGGTGGAACTCGCGCTTTCAGCCATAACTTCAGTGGGCGCATGCGAAGCAGGCCCAGCTGAAGTACCGAAGATGCTGAGGCCATGAGGCCCAGCATTTTCTGAAACCTTTTGAGCGGGACTATAGTGCTGCGGCGGAAGGATCTCGCGGCACGCTGAATGTCCAATCCGCGCTCCGGCGACAGACGTGCTATCATAGATAGTGAGTCCAGCACTGTTCCCAGAAAATAAATTTCCTGGCTGGGAAACAGCGAACTTTTCGCCCAATTGACTGTGAGACCAGAGATGCTCGAGTAATGTGGTTCTGTGTTCTATGAGCTCTG